TTCATATAATCATAGTGATATCAAGACTAAACTGCCGAGTGGGGCACAGGCACAAATTACTAAGACGTGTTAATGGTGGGAATTTTAACAGAACTTTGTAAAGTTTACATTGACACAAACAAATGTAGTAAAATCTCATTTATCTGATGTAACTGGGACTGAGTAATTGAAAAGTTGGTTATAAAGAAATTATTTTAAATCATACATATATGTTGTAAACATTTTATCTTACACTATGTAAACAATTTTTTAAGTTCTTAACTGTCTTTTTCATATAAACCACGCCCCATAATATATCATCTACAAGTTCATTTCTTTAAAGCAGAGCAGTAACTCTGACACGTTCACAAAGCAATCTGAGTTATGAGCCCATCCCGACTTTTATGACTTTTCCCCCCAATCTTTCCATTTTCTCACAGACACTAATTCAAGAGCAATTTTTTAAGAATCATGGTGATTCAGTCTCTTCCAAGCATTTAACTTCGTTTCCATATAAATAGCGACTCTCTTTCTGAACTCGTATTTCATTCGTTACATGTTTAATCAAATTTCACTATTGCAAGCATAATTGATATAAACTACTTTAGGAGCAAACCCAGCTGAATCAGGATGAGTTTCCAACTTAAGCAGGAGGAGCAATTAGCAGCCCACTAGCCTTGAGCATTCAGAGTGACCCATGCAGCAGTCACTGTGTCTACAGAGGCCAGCGTCATTCATCTGGTCCTTGATTAAGAGACTGTCAATGATAGGCCAGGCACGGTGGCTCATGCCTGTAATCCCAGCACTTTGGCAGGCCAAAGCAGGTGGATCACCTGAGGTCAGGAGTTTGAGACCAGCCTCGCCAACATGGTAAAACTCTGACTCTACTAATAATACAAAAATTACCCCGACATGATGACGGGCACCTGTAGTCCCAGCTATGTGGGAGGCTGAAACACAAGAATCACTTGAACCCTGGAGGCAGAGGTTGCAGAGAGCCAAGATCACACCTCTGCACTCCAGCCTGGGTGATAGAGTGAGACTCCATCAAAAAAAAAAAAAAAACCGTCAATGATAGAATGATGGCAGATATTTCACATTTTTTTTTCTTTTTTTCAGACAGACTCTTGCTCTGTCACACAGGCTGGAGTGCAGTGGCATGATCATAGCTCACTGCAGCCTCCAACTCCTGGGATCCTGCCATCCACTGCCTCAGCCTCCCACAGTGCTGGGATTACAGGCACCCACCACTGTGCTCAGCCATAGTAAAGTTTTTTTGAGACAGTGTCACATTCTGTCACCCTGGCTGGAGTACAGTGGCTGGCGAAACATGGCTCACTGCGGCCTCAAACTCCTAGCCTCCCACCTCAGCTTCCCTACCATCTGAGACCACAGATGCATGCCACCACACCTGGTTAATTTTTTTTTTAGAGATGGGGGTCTCACTATGTTGCCCAGTCTGGTCTTGAACTCCTGGGCTCAAGTGATCCTCCTGCCTCAGCTTCCCAAAGTGCTGGGATTACAGGCATGAGCCACTCAACCCAGACTCACAATTTATATACCTAGCTTTGTGTACTTTTGCCAGTTCTTTTGCTTTTCTCACAGTCCCACGGTATTTTTTGCCTGAGAATTTGGAAGAAGGGCCACAGTCCCTCTGCTACAGGACCCCACAGCACCGGGCGCATTTGTGCTGAGAACTAATCATT